TCATCCAGAACTTTTACATTCTGATCCAGGATCTTTACATCCTCATCTAGAACCTTTACATTCTGATAAAGAACCTTTAGATCCAGAACCTTTACATCCTCATCCAGAACCACCATCCTACCTTTGCTCAGCACTCCCTGTCCGGACGAGCACGCACTGTGGCGCATGCACATCTCGTACGGCTTCTTGTAGTAGAATCCCTCTCTGCACGCGCACTCTATGTCGTTGTGCGCGGTGCAGGGCGTGCGCACCACCTCGTAGTGCCCGCACGCGCCGCAACGCAAACACTTCGTCAGGTAGTTCCATTGCTCCGTGTACGAGCCCGCTGGACACGGCGCGCAGACGCTCTTGCTCGTCGCCGTGCAGCGCGCACGCGGATAGGTCCCGGGTGGGCAGCCCTCGCACTTCAGCTGAGATCCCGTGACCGGGTCCGTGTGCGTGAAGGTCTGGATCCCGTCAGCGAGAGCCGCGTGCACGGTGAGCAGCACGATGGGGACGAGTTGAGGGAACATCTGGCGGAAGAAGAGGAGGAAACACGGAGTTAGAAACATCTGGAGGAGGGAAGCGAACGAGGACTCACAACACAACAACACAGAGACACGTCTCCACATGTGGAAATGTTCCTCGTGGATCAGATGAAAGTTTCCATCTCGCTCCAGAAGAAGTTTCAGATCCTCAGATCTGAAGCTGCAGCTCAGACACGCTCACACCTACCGTGAGAGGAAGAAGAGGAGGAAGAGGAGGAAGAGGAGGCGGGTGGTGCAGCAGCATCGAGGCTCAGGAGAGCGATGCCCTCTCTCTCTCTCTCCATCTCTATTTATCAGCTGATCTCACTTTACCTCTGTGACGACTCATCCATCAAGACGAAAAAAAAAAGTTTCCCCGGAAACGTGATGTCATCATGAAGGGAATGTACATCATCCTGGTCAGATGATAAATACTAATACCACTACTACTAATACTGATACTACTAATACCACTACTACTAATACTGATACTGATACTACTAATACTACCACTACTACTAATACTGATACTGATACTACTTGTATTATTAAAGTTCTTATCATCTGTTATATAATCTCATATTTCATGTGTTCAATATTTTATATTATATAACATCATGTTATCTGGTTGATCTCATGTATCGTATATTCATGTATCTAATTTGTCACATGATATTAACATGTCATATAATTCATAATTGTATGCTGTATATTCTGACACGTCATATGTTAAATATTATAATATGTCATATTCCATATAATCTCATAAACGAAATATTCCTCACGTGAAACTTCAGAGGATGAAGAGGAGAGGAGGTTTTGATTTGACTCTTCTAGAATTTAAATCAGTAAATCATCCTCGATGTTCTGGGTTCCTACCTCAACCTTGTGTTCAGAGTTTAAAGTATTAACCTCATCATAAAATCTATTATACATCATTTTATTTATATATTCACACACACGTCTTTGGGACGTCATGTAGCCAGTAGAGGGAGACAGAGAGAAGCTCCTGTCCACCTCATTAAAGGTGCAGTGTGTAGAATTTTGTGATGTCCAGATGTTGGTTATGTTATGTTCATGGACACTGTCTCTGTCCTCTCATGGTGCAGCAGCCTGTTCACTCAGTAGACATCACAGATATGAGACTGTGTCTTCAGGAGACACTGTCTCCAGAACCAGTAAATACATTCGATTGTTTAGGAACGAGCTGACCCACAGATTAAATCTTCTGTTGGGTGTGACGGCAGGAAAGCAGACTTCAGAATATGAGAGAGCGCCATGCTCGTCATGATGTCGTCATGATGTTGTGTGGGTGAATTCTGATTTTGTCCTTGGCCAAGCGTCAATAAATATTTCAGCATAAGACGTCAAACACTTTCTTCAAAACATGACAAACAAACTGTGGTGGACTTTATCGTCATAAAATCTGGAGGGAGTTTTTCCTCCACAGTTGCCAAAGTGCTGCTCATCGTGGGAACTGTTGGGTTTCTCTATATATTGATTTTAAGGTCCTGACCTTCTATGTAAAGTGCGCTATCCAAATAAAGTTGAATTGAATTGAATAAAAACTCAAAAGGTTTTAGTTTGTCCAGTCTGGACTAATGTAAAAAACATGGCGGCCCCCGTAGAGAGGGTCCCCTCCATGTAAATATAAAGTATGAAAACATCATGAGGATTATTCTACATTAAATCTCTGTCAAAAGTTCCTTTCACCTAAATCTTACACACTGGACCGTTAAATTCTAGGTTCATCTTATCTAATCGAATCTTTTGTGTAACGCCGGGAACAAAAAGTAACACAGAAGGTTTTTTTATTGTATTTTTTCCGTCTAAAGATTAAAAACTACGTTGCACATCCATTTTTCAGAACCTGAGAGGGACGAGCTGCTGCTCACTAACCTGTGACCAGAAATGTTCAGTTTCACATCAAGCTGAATTTTTAGTTACAGCTAGAAAACCATCTTGAATAGGGAGTGGCCTAAGCCGACCAATCGCAGGCCTTAAAACTGCAGGTTGAATCAGGTGTCACAAAAGGACAATAAACTTTAAATAACAAACACAAACACAAGACGACGACTGAAGGATATCGTCACGACATCGTCTGTGACAAAACAAAAACCAAACTGTTCTTGTCCTCGCTGTTGAAACCAGAAAACGACGGCTGATGTTTGCAAAGGATGAATCTCAGCGGACGTTTACTCGCTCATAGTTCAGAGCAGACGTCGATATCAGGCGACCGATCGGCAACAAACAAACAAACGAGAAACGATAAAGCATCTGACAAAAAAAATACGAAAGTGAATATATCCAGAGGAGCTTTTCAGTCCTTTCACTCTGATTCTTTTCCTCTTCACTTTCACTTTTCTGAAGCCGCCGGCTGAATTAGTCATCGTGAATCAACTTGTTTCAGGGAGAAGAAACACAGATGTCTTTCTTTTCCTCCAGGAACGACTTCAAACCTCAAACCAAAATTGAGGAGATTTCTAGGAAAATGAAGGTGGAGAAAGGAAACCCGCAGTTACACAACGATGACGTCGACCTTAAATGAATAACGGAGAGCTCAATCCTGAGACCTGAACAAAACCACATGAGAACTCAGAAGCACAAATCTGTCGTCCTGTCGTCTGCAGCGACTTCATCTTTTCTCCGCCAACGATTATTCCACAGAATGAAAAATTAGCATCGAGTAAAATCCAAGAGGTGAAATATATTTGTTCTTGAAGGTTCGGATCGTAGTATTCTAGTCTCCGCTGTCAATCATTACGTCTCGACACATTCCTTGACATGGATTAGGTTCAATGCCCCGCCCACGGTTCGACCAGCACTTTGTGCCGCTCTCCCTCCTGAGCCACATTCCATCAGGGGCCTGCTGGGCCTCAGCGAAGGTTCGAGCGCCACTGTGACGTTCTGTAAACAGCTGAGTGCAGTTTACAAGCCCATCGATAGCTCATAACCCTTTCAAAGTAAACTTCCTGGTTGACGAAAGATTCTTTTCAATAAACTGTCGCTGACATAATCGTCCAAATAAACATGGAACAAGTGGATCCTTTGAGATGGAAACCCTGCCGGCGCTGGTTTCCTCGGCCTCACAGGTTTGATGTCTGGCCCTGATGCACTGGCTGTGTAATCACTGAGAGCGTGTGGTCCACGTCACGTAAGAGGTTTGCGTGCAGCTTAATGTAGCGATGACATCACTTTCTGAACATGGAGGAGGACGTGTGGGAGGATGTATGGAAGCCCGGAGCGGACAGAAATAAATAAATATGGTCACTTGAATTTTAAGGGACATGAAATGTGTCTGGAACGAAGAAGAAAAAAGAAATGGCATGATTTGAAAACTTCCAGTGAGGATTTCATTTTCCTCTGTCTCCCCCTGGTGGCTGGCTGCAGTACAGCTCACAAACCCCGCCTCCTCCATGTTAGCAGATGGGACATGGACAGAGTTCTTATCGCACTCGATGTTTGCTCAAGTGTTTCTGATCAGTTTGGTTCGATTAGTTAATCGACGATATAAAATGATTGACAGCTGAGACTCCTGACTCCTGATTGGTTGAGAGCCGTGACACCGACAGGTCCTCGGTATCTGCGCAGGATGGCAACGTTCGCATCTGAGATAGGCTTGGCGTAACTTCTCGACAGTGGGAGGAAGTTGAGACAGTATGTGAGCACTTATGCTCATCGTGTTTTTGATCTTTACATGAGCTCATGAAAATCAGATCATCTCTGATCTCAGTGAGTTCGAATCACTCCGCCCTGATGACGGAGTGTCGTGATGCCTGTAACTGATCTTCAGAAGTCTTGTAGCTGCGCCCAGTGTCTCATGTGTGTCATGTGTCTCATGTTAGAGTGAAGCAAGAAGGACCCAGTAAACACTAACAGAGACGAATGAAGATTAGGAAATTTAGTTTGTTTTAATTCTTTGTGCAACATATCGACAAGCAGGCGAAGAAAATAAATTCAGTACTTTCTCAAAATGAAAAACTAAGAACATGCGATCATGAAAAGATTTGTTTCTGTCTTAAATTCACTGAAATCCACGTTGAGAGATTCACACAATCACAACAATGAGAACAAAATAAGATTCAATGATATAAAAATAAAATTCAGGTCAGATTAAAAACTACAACGTTAATAAATAAACAAAGTTTCTCTGATAACGATGAACAATTTAAAACTCATCACGAAGAATTTTACAGGCGCTGAATATTAA